TCTCAAAAATTAAATACAATGTATAACATTGTTTATTCAAATTTTTTCATTTATTTAGAAAATAAACAAAAAATAATTAATTAATTACTTTAATTATTAATTAAAAATATTTTTAAAAGCAGAAAACAAATATGTTTATAGATTTATAAAGCACATACCAATTTCTAATCTTTTAAAATAAACAACTCGACAAATAAAAGTATTTTTTTTAAATATTTTTCATTCATCTAGAATTCTAGAGGACCACAATTAAAATATTCCGAGAATTTTCAAGACCATTAAATATGAATATAGCTATATTAACTTCAAATAGATTTTTCTTTTTTTTTCGAAATCACATAATTTGAAGAACTTATGTTTCATATTTACTGATTATAAAAAACTAGTAATTTTTTTTTTCTTTTTTAATAATATGAACTTAATTATATTATAATTATAGGTCAAATTTATTTTATTATGATACGCACAATTTTGCTTTATATTGAAATCATTTTTATATTACGTGTATCTTATCTTTTTAAGTATAATATTAAGAGTACAATTAATGAAATAAAATTTATGAAGTGTCCATTCGTTTTAATAATTATATACATATACGTATGATAAGACAATATTTTATAGGTTAATATACTTATTACATTAAGTATGTAATTTTAATTAATAATATATAATTATTATCTATAGAAATATTAATTAAGTATCACTACATAGATGCTTTTATACAAATCAAGTGTATAATTATTTACAATTTAATTCATATTTTAAAAAACGTGTAATTGTGAAAATTTTAAGAATGAACAATGAGCATCTTGCTATATGAAATGAAATACATAAAAAATTCATGAATAATCTCGAAAATATGAGGTAAATTTGTACAAATTTAAGAACTGCGTAAATGCAGGTGCTTACACTAAAACAATGCAACAAACTGGCAGTGCATTCGAACAATATCAATTTTTTATAAAGTGACACATTTCCCTTGCATATATGAAAACAAATTTTTTTTTTAATTATTTCCATTAATACAATATATGTATCTACATCAAAACTGTATTATGTAACAAATAATTATTGCATACTTTTAGGATGGGAACAAGAAATAAAAGGAGCATTCCTTAGTAGCGAATTCGACTACTAATTAGAGGAGTTAAATGGAAAGATATTTAATGCTAGATTTTTTCTTTCAAAGAATTCAAACAACATTCAGAAAAATTGGCGATAACATCGAAGTGGGAGGTAGTTGGCAAAAAATCTTGTTTTCACAAAATGTACCAAAATATTAATTTCTTTAATCTGTTACAAATTTTTAAAAATTTCTAGTTTTGATACAAGCAATACGGTTACTAAAGGGTTAATACTGTCAATTTTACCAATTTTCGTTTCGTATTCAAAAAACACTATAAATGCTCATAAAATATTGAGTGATAATTTTTGTCTTTTTTATTTTGTGGAACATAATTTTCAGTATAACAATTATTTTTATTTTTTTATATATGTATGTAGTTAAGCAAAAAAAAAATGTGTTAAGAATAAGTAAACATCGTATCGTACTGTGTTCTATATAAACGACGTTAAAGAAAAAAAAATTTTTTTTTTTTTTTTTGCAAAACTTACTCAATTTCTTATTAATGTTATACAAACATTTTATATACACACAAATATGTACATGGTTCCATAGGCCATAGTACAAATTATATTACTCATTTCTCAATATAGTTTAAATATTTCATCATACATAATTATTATTAAACGCATATTATGCAAAAAAAAAAAACACAAAAAAAAAATCAAAAAAAAAAAAGCAGACTACTTTTAAACATGACGAGAATAAGAAATTGAGCCCACAAATTAAAGAAAATGAGCAACAGAAAAAAATTAAATTATTAATACTGTTATTATAATTATGTAGGTATTTATATTTATGTATTTATATACATATATATATATATATCGTTTCGTATTCAAATGTGTATATTTAAAAATTATTCGAATTTCGGATTTATACCTCAATATTAGCATTAAAAAGGTATATTTCTTTATGTTTGTATGTATGTATGTACATTTTAAAAATCTTGAATTCAGTGATGGTTTGCTAAAATTTTAATGTAGAATTTTATTGTTATAAATTTTTATTTTTTAATATTTTTCTTTCTTTTTCTTTTTAAAATAGTTTTTTTTTTTCTCTTTTAGTTAAATGAAAATAGCGCGCAATTTTTAAAATGAAAAAATATTTTATTATAAAAAAAATTATAGTAAACATAAATATGTTGTATATAATATATACATACATATACTTATTTATTATATACATATGTGCATGTATACATTAATATATAAAGATAAGCAAAATTAAAAAAAAAAAATTTTTTTGCAAATTATTTTTATATTTTGGTGAAATTATTTAAAATTATTTTTAACCCAAAATTATTAATATTCTTATAATATTTTATCGATCATAACATTTCTGTAATGTTATAATATTCATAATAACATAACAATGTATAATATGGGTACCATGAGCATTCAGGTATACATACGAGTATGCACTTAATATTTCTCACAAAAGGTGAATAAACTTCGTGATAGAAATATGTATGTGATGAACTAGGCAATATTTTGTTATCGTTTCTTTACCAAAACTTATTTCGGACTTAAAATATCAAACAAAATTTCAATGGATGAATATACAATTAAATCTTTAATATTAGAAATTTAAAAACAATTTTAATTTAAAAGCCTCTATGCTGTATAATTTTCTTCTTTGCATTGATATTTAAATTAAACGCCTAAAAGTATTCAATATTATGAATTGCGCGTATTAAATAAATAGTATTGCAATTGGTAATACTTAAGTACTACGAATTGGTATAACGTATAAGTGAATACGTTCAAGTTAATTTCAAAAATAATGATGTGAGTAATTACGGCTTTATGGTTTTAGTTTAATCAAAGCTCTAAAAAGCGATGTCAAATATTCTTTTCTCTTTTGGCAATTGGTAAACGCTAAAATTTGAAATACTTTAGAAAACTTTTTGAAAATTTTTTTAAGAGGATTTAAATTTTTTATTATTATAAATTCAAAATACACACGCGTGTATTCTTATAGTAATGCGCGTTACGTGCAATAATTCACGTGAGAATTATTTAAAAAAAAAAAAAAAAAAAAAAACACAGAACATAAAAAAAGAAGAACATTGAAATATTTTTTTTTATTCCTTTATTTTGTTTTTGTTTTCCTCTTGTTTTAAAATTTAAATATTGATTTTGTTATTAATTTTCTTATTTTAATATATATACAATGTACATATCCATATATAACATTAGCAGTATATATATATATATACATATGTATATATATGTAATACCGATTTTTTTTGAAAATTTAAGAAGCTATTTATATAGACATTGATTTATGTAAATCTTCATGTATATAAATATCTACATATATATCCATATATATACCTATATATGTATATATACAGGTATATCTCACCATATTGATATATTAAGAAGAGCAAACGAAAATAAGAACAAAAATAATAATAACAATAATAAAAATAGAAATGAATCAGCAAAAATTCTTCAACTTTTTCTCTTCACTTCATTTTATCCGGCACATCTCATGATCACATAGTGTTAAACAAAAAAAAAAAAACAAAAGAAAATCATAATAAATTTTAAAAACCGCAAAATAAAAAAGAATAAAAGTAAAATAAAAAACTTAAGCTAAAGTGAAAAAAAAAAAAAATGTGTCGATGGATGCATGGATGAAAAGATGGATTCATTTTCAATGCTTTTTCCTCTTTTCTTAAATAAAATTTTTTTTTCTTTTTTAATTTCTTTTTGTTTTCTTCAATTTCGTTCTGCTTTTATAATTAATTCCATGTGAAGTAATAAGTTCACAATTTTTTTATTTTCGTTTTTTGTTTTCATTTTTCTTATATATTTTTGCTGTACATATTGCATTGAATATTTAGAAATGACTTTTATATACTTATTTATTCTATATATGCTCATATAGATATTCTTGTATTATTATGTCGGCGATACCCTACATAGAATACACATAATAATTTTAATTAATTCAAAAAGTGCAATAATATGCATATGAACTACACACATAATATAATAATAATATAATTTTACATAAATTACGAGTATATTCTACATTATGTAGAAATATGTAAAAAAAAAAATTAATTATTTTACATTAATTATAATCGGAACATGCAGAAGAATTAAGAATATAAAAATTTCCGGTTACTGAACCGCTAAAATATAACAAGGGCTTCAAAAAAAAAACAAATCCGTAACATACATAATTATGTATATTATGCTGTAACGTATATAATATACATATGTTCACTTATGTGAATCTTGAACAATATATATGATATAATTTTCTATATGCATTTATGTACTTTAAAAAAATTTTCTTAGAAACTCAAAAATTTCCATTCAAAATTTCTATTTTTCATCTACTTCTTTTGCAGCTTAACGTATTTACGATCTTTTGTATATTGTATAACCTATGTACTTAAACGTATGTATACGTAAAAGACGTTTCACTTCATAATTTAGTTATCCTCAAAAAATTTTTTAATAAAATTTCCAAAATATACAAAATTACAATATTGTATTTTATGAAATTGTTTTAATGAACAAAAAAAAAAAACAAAAACTTACTAATAGCTAGTATAAGCATTTTTCATTTTGAATCTACCCTACATAAGAATGTATATATGTTGTATACATTATATTCAATTTTACGTAAATATTAACAAAAAAAAATGATGAAATATTATTTGAAAATTATTCCACACAAATCATGTAAATTACACATATACTATATATATACGAACATACATTATAAATTATTATTATATAGAGACTATAGAGTATAATAAAAAATTTACTCCGAAAAAAAAAACAAAAAAAATACAAATTATAACATTAATAAATTACGGCAATTATTTTTAATATATTAAAATTATACTTACTTTTGTTAAAATAACTGCATTTTCTGCAGCAGGTGCAATTAGTATAATTGCAATGAGACTCAATATAAAAAATATTATTAATTTTCTAAACATTTTATTTTATATTTTTTTTTGCCTCTTTTATTTAAAAGATATTAATTTTTTCTTGAAATTTATTTTTAAAAATTTAATTAATAATTTTTTTTTTATAAATTAAATTTATAAAACTTTTCGTTTTTTTTTGTTTCACTTTAAAAATTTTATAAATATATATGTATGTATATTTAATTAAATAAAAATATACAAATGTGTTATACTTATTTTTTGATTTTATAAATTAATTAAATTTTTTTTTTCTTCTTTTAATTTTTTTATTATTAATTTATTTATTTATTTTTCTTTCTTTAATATTTTTTCTTTTTTTTTTTTAATTTTAAAATTATATGTATGTACTCTTTAAAAGATAAAACACAACTAACTGCTTCAAGCTTCAACGATTGAATGATCAGCATCAAGAAAATCACATAGCATTATAACATTATAACATTTACACCACAATGTTGTAGTATAATATTGTAGTTAGTATTGTTGTAGAGTATTTAACATGTTTTGGGAATTCGGATGATTCAAAAAATAACGAAAAGAAAATAACGGAGTTTTTTGTTTTTATATATATATTTTTTTCGGAGAATAAAAGAGAATTTTTCTTACTTGATTTTTTTTTTTAATTTTTATTTTTATTATTATTATTTTCCTGTTATTTTACACATTTTACGAATTACAATATTTTATATACGACGAAGATTTTTATTTAATGTAAAAAGTCGAAAGAGACCGAACGAAAAATTAATTTTCTTTCTATCTATATACATATATAAAAAAAAATTAAGAAAGTAAAAAAATAATGGGGAAAAAGAAAAAATATGAATTTGAAATAAAAAAAAATATATATGTATGTAGGTATGTAAGTATACATTGGCACGTTGAAATTAGAATAAGTTTTAAAGATTTTGAAAAATAATATTATTATATTGCTCATATATGTATGTACATATATATATATATATACAATGTAAGTATAAAAAATAATACAAGACTTCACCACACCACAATTAATTATGAAAAGGTAAAAATGTTCGTAGGTATAATGAATAAATTATTTATACGGTCAATATACGGCTATTTAGTATACGACTAGAATAAATGTTATATTGTTAGTATATTGTATAGTTGATAATACAATTAAAAGAATATTTTGTCGAAAATTGACTGAAAATAAAAAAAAAAACAAAAATCGTCTTATTAAATGAAAATGAACTGAACGTGAATTTTATTCATGTATTACAATAAATTCTTGAATCTTATCTTATCTACATTATGTATATCAAAAATACTAAACATAAAAATAAGAGTGAGAGTTTCTTATTGCATACAACAAATATACTTGCCGTATGTTTGCTTAATCTATATAAATTGCTCTTTTTTTTTTCTACATAAATTATTTGTTATTGTATTACCTTATATTATTTTATTTCCTTACCCTTATTATATTTATACATATAAAATATACTTATATATATCCATAATGTATAATATATAGTAGGTACTGCACAGAGAATATTACAGAGAATTATTTAAATTATTGCATTGTATGATTGCATTGTATTTATGCATTTAGTATTAAAAAAGAATAAAAAAAGAAAAAAAAAAATTGGAAAATGAAAGAAAAGAAGAGAATTGATAATTTATAATGCTTTACAACATTTTTCTACTGTTTAAAAAAAAAAAAAAATTGAGAGAATGAAAGAATTGTCCGACTGATTGATAGAATGATAGTTGTATGTAAGTATATTTGTATGTATATATATGAACATAAATTGAAATTTTGTATTGAAGTCTGGTCGTTAAATTTTCCACATTTTTATTGTTTCATATTATAATGTAAGAATATCTATATATATATATTTTTTTTAAGTTTATAAATACAATAAAAATTGATGGTACAACAATAAAATTTAAAAGTTTTTATTTTCATTTTATTATCTTTATTATTTTAAGCACATTTTCCAAAAAAAATTCGAAAAAAAAGTGTGTATTCGAGCTTCTCTCTGTCAACTATCCTTCCGTTCAAACGTCTATTTACCAGATCTTTCAGACAGAAAACTAAAATTTTATCTACGATTGGATCTTTGCAAAGAACATTCTAAAAGAAAATTTTTATTCACCTCCGAAAAATTATGGCCTATAAATATGCAATTTTTTTGACTGTCAATTTTTTTTATAAAAATGTTTGACTTTTTGTTGAATGAAAATTACAAATATTTTTAAAACTACGTAACCGCTGAAAAATATCGATTCGTGTCATATATTGCAAAATAGTATAGGTAAACATTACAATAAACAGCTGTTGTAATTAACCCCACTATCTTAATTCCAGTTTCCTTTTAATTTCTGAACAAATTTTTGCTTTGAGACATTAAAAAAATCTAAAATTTTAATAACTTGTTTTATCTCACTCCTTACCATCAAAATTTATAGTTTCTCATAATTGCCAAAATACTTCTTCTTAACTTTTAATTTTTAAATCCAACTTCTTAATTTTTTAAAACTGTAAGCTGTTTCGAATTCTATTAAAACAAAAATCTTACGGTAAATATTATAATGGTAACGCTTCTTTCGATTTTAGTTATTAGCCGGAAAGTATGCAATAGCTTATTTATTGTGTATAATATAATTTTAAGAATAAATTAAGTAGAAGATTGTATTTTTTTTTTTCAAAAAGCTCAATATAGAAAATGTGCTGCTTATAATCTGATTTTACAATTTTGGAATTAAAATATATTAAAAAAATATTCCAATCGATTAAATTTAATGATTTTCAAATTAAATGCTTACATATCTGTATTTTAAAAAATTGAATTTAATAAATTTTGTGTTGAATGCAACAAAATCAATTTGTATAAGAAAAATTGAAAACAATTAAATGCTTTATAATTAAATATTAAACTTAAAAAAAAATTTATACTTGCATAAAGTTGGGTTAAATACTGAATACAGTAAAACCCGCTTTAAATTACAGGATTTTCTTAATTTATTGTAATATAGAACTAATATAGAAGCTTATGTTTGTATATAAAATGAACTGTCAATTATATAATTTGGTTAACGTTCATTGACAGTTGTAATTCCAAAATTTAACAGTGTTGTATAAATTAAAAAATTTTTGGTTTTTCTTTATCGATATATCGATACGATAGAGTTTAAGATACGAGTCGATATATACGAATAATAAGAGTTTAAGATACAACAACTTTATTTCGTTTTACAATAAAAAAATTTTAGCTTATAATGTGCTATGTCTAAATAACGAAACGAGTTAATTAGGGATTAATATTAGAAAAATGACTGAAATTAATTTGAATTTCGTAATAAAAGAGTTTTGCTTTTATGCCGAAGTTTATTATACAATGGGTCTAATTGAATACATTTTCTAATTGAGTACAACATTTTATATACGATACTCAAATATAATATGCAATTAAATATACTGTACAATATAAAAGATTCGAATAATAAATAGACATTCCCCTTAATTAATAGTAAATATATAAATCATACATAATATAAAACAAACAATTTGTATTATCCTTCACTTATTATACCCGTACGAACGTATGTTCGAAGGGTATACTAAATTTGCCTTACCGTTTGTAACGTTGAGAAATAACGGTCTTAGATATAGACAAAAGTGTATATTTTTGATCAGCGTCGAATTCTGAGTTGATTTAGCTTTGTCTGTCCGTCCGTCCGTCCGTCCGTCCGTCCGTCCGTCCCAACGATAACTTAAAAAATAATTGAGCTAAGTTCACCAAATTTTCACAAATGATTTACTGTAGTAAGTGCCAGAACCCTATTTAAATTGGACATGATCGGGGTACCGGTTCGGGTAGCTGCCATACAACTTCAAAATTTATTTGACTATATCGCAGAAACCATAAAAACTGTGGTATTGAAATTTCGCACAAACGAATATATTAGTAGGGCCAATATGTCTGATAAAATTCGTTGAAATTACTTGGCTCCTTCTGATACCTGCCATACAACTTCAAAAGTTATTTACCTATATCGCAGAAACCATAAAAACTGTGGTATTGAAATTTCGCACAAACGAATATATTAGTAGGGCCAATGTGTCTGATAAAAGTCGTTGAAATTACTTGACTCTTTCTGGTACCTGCCATACAACTTCAAAAGTGATTTGACTATATCTCAGAAACTATAAAAGCTGTAATATTGATATTTTACGCAAGCGAATATATTAGTAGGGCCGATGTGCTTGAAAAAATTCGTTAAAATATTTTGGCTCTTTCTGGTAGCTGCCATACAACTTCAATAGTAGTTTGGCACACACAGTATTTTGAAAGACACATTGTACTGAAATTTTGCATAAATTAATATGGTAATACGGCAACTTAAAGTCATTGTCTGTTCCATAGTCAGTTATGGCTTATTTATTCGCACATAGGATAACCAATTCGTACGGGTATCACAGAGTTGACAAGGTCAACTCTATTTTTTCTCGTTTTTTTTTATAATTTTCAAATTAAATTTCATATTATAATACATAATTTATCTTCTATATTGAAAGCAATGAAATTTTTCTTGATTATATGAAATAAATGTGCAATAAAATTATATATATATATATATATGTACATACAATAAAAAATATCAGCTGTTAGTAAATTAATCCTTAATAATATGGTAATGATATAACACTGTACAACTTACACTTTACTTTGTATCACTTAGTTAATCGCACTACACATAGATAGCACGCGAAGAATTTTGATATTTTGTAAAATTGTTACAAAGTTTAGTATGAAAATAAAGTTATATAAAAACTTTTATAAACATGGGTAAAAGTAAAAAATTTTTTATATCATGTATACGAGTATATATGCGCTTGTACAAATATTATAAACTCTAAGAAATAACACTTGAAAATATCATGATATATATCATATATATTAAAGTTCAACAACAAATTGAAATAATTATTTTGAACATATCTGATAAATTGCTCGTGTACTAAGGTTAAGATATATTTATTCGTCAGAAAATTACTTAGATTTTTTCTTAATTGCATTTAAAATTTTTATATTGATTGTTTAAAATATTATGTACTATATAACAGCTGTTTCTTGTAATCCTCTAACAGTTTGAAAATTAGATTAACTTTTTATATTTTAAAAAACTGACATGATCAGGAACTTCTGATTAGC